TAAGAACGAGTTTCTAATAATGTAATTTTACAGAGGCCAAAACGGCATCTTTCTCAGTCCATTCGCAAGATAAATTTCTCCAGCTTCTTGCTGGTGGTTGAGGATTACGATCCCAACAGAACTGTTCTGTCCTCTCACAAGAACTTTCCTTGAGTGAAGGACTCTTCCCTTTGATTTTTTTCCAAGAGAAGGCATTGGCAAAGGATGGCAGAGAGAATGTAAACACACCAGAAAACAGAAGAGACTACCAAGAGGGAGAGGGTGGACTCTGAAGATGAACCGTACCTGACACAGGGGTGGAGGTGAGGATTTGGTCTTCCTTGAGCAAGTGCAGGACAGACAGGTGCAGTGGCCCCATCTGGAATCTCAGACCCTGGAAATGATGCCGGGCCCAACACTTCCCATGAACTTTATTGATTGGATCACACCTTTGGTGCACAGTTGGCTCGGGCTATGGTGACTTCTCTGAGCTCTTAGGACGTACCCTAGTCATTTGGTCTAGGTCCCAATGACTATCTTCTCATTCTCGATTCCATATGATGAGCTATTCCTAGAGAAGCGATTGAGAGGCACAACAGCCTCTCCAAATCATTACAATACTCCTTCTAGCCTCTGATAGTATAAGGCAATACAAAAGACAAAAACGTCCTTGGGGCTAAAATGTGTTTTTATGGTTAGCAGGATTTTGGTCAGGGACATGTCAGTTCAAAGTTCTTTGCGCACTCCTGTTATGACTGGATCTAAAAGATACCCGCAAGCTGCCAGGTCTCACTCTGGGCCTTCTTTATTTCCAGTCACGTGCACAGTTCGAAGGCCCAAGAGGAAGGGACCCTAGTTCTTTTGCAGATTAAGAGAAAGCCCACAAGGCACATGCATGGCCCTAGACACTCTTCCCTGTGCTCAGAGCTAATGAGCTAATACTGTGACCCTCTTGTCTCACATACAATAAAACTCAAGGCAGTGCTCTTCTTAGAAATAGTGTATTGGACTCAGGTCTCTTTGCTTCTCCTGCCGCCATTCTGTGGGATAAATAGATTTGCCTACATTTTGCGACATCCCATCAGACAACAGCCCTGCTGCCAATGTCTTTCCTTTATTGCCAAAGCCCCAAGCCTCCTTGGAAGAAAGATTGGTGCCCCCTCTCAGCCCACAAACACTGTTTCTCTCCAGGTCCTCCTTTGGGGGCCTCTAGGATTTCAGACTTTCTCTTGGCACGTGGGTCTACCTGAAGTTTCTGGAATCATCTGGTCTGCAGTACAATGCTGTGCAATGGCCTTAAAGGATATTTTTACATAAATTTTTTAGTAGAAAACATAAATAAATAACAACAAGGCACAGCACAGTCGCCCTTTGCAGAAACCAAGCAGAACTCATTAATCACGGACAGCAGGGCTCTTTGCCGAACCTAGGGACAAAATCAACCTGGGCTACAGCTGCCACTTTCAGACAGGACTGTGTTCTCTACAAACCTGGCAGTTAAAAAATATCTTCAAGTTCTAGAGAAGAACTGCCTGAGTTATAAATTTTCTAAAACTGTCCAGAGTCTTCTGTGGCAAGGGCTGTGCCTACTTTAGAGAGTGGCACAGAGAGTAAGTGTTTTCTGCAAATGCACGAAGTGATCCATACCCATGGGGTCCCCTGGTTTCTCCTGTTCTCCCACATGGAAACAAGTTCCTTCATGGCAAACCTTCGCTATTTATTTGCATTGTTTATTAAAAAGGCAAAGAGAAAAAGAAGCAAAACTTCAACAGTGTTCATGGTAGTATCAACTGCAACAGTGGAAAACTAGACAAAAGGAACCGCAAATGGGGGGATGATTAATAAACTACGACACATCCACGCGATATGGCCGGAATGGGGGGAGGGGTAAAACCTGACCATGGGGACCAAAGAATCTTCAAGACGTCCCATGAAAAAGAAGTAGATTATCCAGGCGAGAGAAGAAGAACCATGATAGAACTCCAGCTAAACCAAGCTACATAATTGGACATGAACTTGTGTGCTTATAAAGATGTAAAGAGACGGCTTCAGATCATCTTTGTGGTCACTTCTGGGGACGAGATGGGGTGGGTCAAGCCAAAAGGGAATAATTGCTTTTTCTGTAGTATTGTACTTCTTTTTGAAATGTAATCATATACACTTACAAACAGAGAGAGAGAGAGAGAGAGAGAGAGAGAGAGAGAGAGAGAGAGAGAGAAGGTGTTTTCTCACCCAACGCCCAGCCTTGCCTCCAGGCCTTCTGTTCTTAGTCCGTCTGGAGATGTTTCTCATTTCGCGGTCCAATGCCCATGGGAATTTACATTAGATTATCATTAACTATTCATAATTACTTCTTGTGGCTCTTTAAGGTCATGGCAGGCAATTCCCAAGAGCAATGGCATTACCCAGAAGAGAGATATTTGTGGGTCCTTTGTCCATAGGATTTGGGGCAGAAATGGCTTCTGCAGGTTATCCCCCCCCCCCATCTTGCTAACTAGGGCTCTGCTCTGTAGAGAGTTCTGAAATCTGTAGCATTCCAGTTAGCAGGGCTCCAGGGGTCAGTGCACACATACTCCAGCTGCAGCGACGGCCCATGACTCCTAAGGGAGCAGTTTCTGGTTCCAGTTGACCTCAGCAAACTCCTACGCACCTGACCTAGGTGAAGCTTAATTAAATCCTCCACCACTTCCAGCTTCTAACTTCTTTGTATAGGACAATCCCCACCGCACCCCCCATCCCCCTCTCTCCTCCTTTTTCTCTGGCTGGACTTGTTTTGTGTTGTCTTTGGGCCATCACTGAAGTGGATGAAAGGCAAATTACAGCTGCTCCAGAGCCCTGGCGCTCTGCACAACTAAAGAGAAAAACAACAGCAGCAACCAAACCAAGCCCACACCTATGGGTCTGCATTTGCCTCAGATGTGCGGCCACAATGCAGACAAATCAAAACTTCAAAATGAGCTTCATTTCATCACAGATTTCAAAAGACCGCAATGTCTGTGCAGAGCAACCACACAGTCGGTGAAGAACAGTGGGGAAAACAAACATGCTGGCTTGGCTGGGCTTTGGTGGTCTGGACTAGGAGGGCAGTGTTGAAGCAAGAATGTGTGTTTAAGTCATAGTAAAGGCCAGGTAGAAGTAAGTACAGAGTAAGCTGGGCTTTGACATCTGCACTCTGTGATTCATGGAAACATAATTTACACTTGGGTTAAATCTGAAATACATGCAAAATGTTTACTGGTCAAAATGTTGTGAATGATGGGTAAAATTGACTCCTGGTGGCTGTTACCCTCTTGGGGAGAAAATAAGTCTTGGCCCCAGTGTCAAAGTAGAATACTCCCCCAAAAGTCGCCCCAAAAATGTGATCAATGCCAACAAAGCATGCGCTCTGACTAATTCAGTTCATCCTGGCATGTGTGGTTCTAGGTCATGGCAAGTGAATGTGGACCGAGTCTGGGTCTTTACTCGAAATAATTACATTGAGATGCTTCCATTTTGCCCTTTGTTAGCGGGAACAAACAGTTTTAGGCCAGCCAAATGTTACTTAGACAGAATGGGTAATTGGGCTTGGCACAGGAAATACAGGCCCTGCTCTAATCATGGATGTTCAACTTCATGCTCCTGCAGAGGACAGATAATGACATCTGCCCTGAGCCATCTGTACTAACAGTTTCCCGTGCGATTTGAAAAGTCAGGCTCCCTTGTGCAGTGTTAGGACAGGCTTTAGATTTGGGAGGTGCTGAATCCCGGGTCTAGGTTTCCATAGTACCCAAGGAAAATCAGGACCCTGGCAGACACAGGGTCCTTTGGGCAGGTCTCTCTCTACAAGACCATCTAGGATGAACATTCCGCCTCTTAGGACTCTGGGGTGATGTGAATCCTCTTGTGACCAATTCTTGCCTCCTGCTGAGGGACTCAAAGCCACTAGGAAGTTGCCTTTCATATGTATTTTTCCCACAGGAATCACCTTCAGATTCAACTCTCTCCCACAACCATATCATTAACTACTCACAGAGGTGGACCAAGCCAAAACAAACCATGCAAAAACCACTTGTTGAAGAAGATCAGACTCTCGAGCAAGCCTCTTTCAGCTTATACCTTTTATAGACTGCTTATTTTATGAATGTCCACTCAGACAACCTCAGGTACACAATGTCTATCCCATAATTTTCATCATCTCTCCAAAATCTTGACCATCTCTGAGCCCTGAACATGCTAAAAATTCCTGTTCTTCTTGGTCCAGGGAAATCATTCATAAATTGGAGATCAATGTCCCCCAGAAAGTAATAATTTGATAGGCGTGGGACAAAAGGTCATCATTTCTTTTCCAGAAGAAAGACTGTATGTCTTCGGAGCTGAGTGCAGCATACACAAGAGCTGCACCCACTCCCCTGGGGCAGTTTGAAAGGAGATGCCAGTCTCCACGGATTTGCCATCGAGACAAATTTTGTGGAATTACATTGAGCAATTTAGCACTTAGCAACTTTCACAAAAATCCCACACCAATCATAAAAGTTGGCTCAGCTGCACAAATTGGATAAAACTCCTAACAAGCAGCAATGAAAATTGAAAGAAAGGAGTGCTGGCCTTCAGCTTCAAGGAGAGTACATCTCTCCCTCCCACACAAATGCCCCATAGCTCAGAAGGCGAAGTGTGAACTTTGGAGACATCAATTTTTTTCAAGGCTTATACTTCAAACTTTGTTCTTACAGGCAAAGGGTGGGGGAAAGAAACCCAGATGTTTGTATAAAAATATCATCATTTTATTACATTCCACACAATACATTTTCAAATAGTTTCCAACATCCACGAGTTATTTTGACACACAGGCAACTGAGCGATGCAGGGGACATCACAGTTATAGGGAGAGGGGATAAGAACAGGAAGTAAAAATCTTTAGGTTTTCTTGTTTTGTTATTCTTTGGTAATTTTTGACCTTGTAGGTGTTTGCTTGCCTGCTCATTTTTATTTTAAGGATGGAGTCTTTTAAAAGATGGGATATCGACATCAAAAATATCACTGGATTGCCTATTCTGGTTTTAATCAAGAGGAGTGGGACAAGGGAGAGGAGGAGTTTATTTTCGGGATCGTGTTTTGTCAATGGCAATGCTACATTTGTTTTGTTTTTCCTTTTCTGCATTTGCCAGCAACAGGCAGGGCGGTTGCTAGCGTGCTCTCAAGGAAGGGTTCTTGTGAGACCTCTCATAAGGCAAATGCTTTCCAGCCCCAGCTGGCCCTTCACCTCATTTGTGCACTCGTTCACATTTTACCGTTGGTATCACCGCTCTGTCTTCTGGGATACCAAGACACTGGAGCAACGTTCATCTGTCCAGTCCAGTTTCCTTAGAAGAGTGACACTTTCCTCCCCTACCAGATAGGGAGTTTTGCTTTTTAAAGCAGCACATGGCATTTTACATGAGCTACCCTTTTAGAAAATACTACCAAAGATGCTGGAGTGGGGGAGCAGGAAAGAGAGAGAGAGAGAGAGAGAGAGAGAGAGAGAGAGAGAAAGCGAGAAAGCAAAAGAGAGGAGAGAGAGAACACTTAAGCACGAATCACAGCTGACGGGCATCATGGGATTCACCATCTATAACATGTACTTGAAGATGGTGCTGCCTGCCTCGAGCATTGGATGAGCAAAGAACAAGCTCACAAAGTGTCTGCCATCTTGCTTTTGCTACATCGGATAGATTTTCTAGCTATGGTCTTCTGATGCCTCCACAGGACACCTGTAGGAATGTCAATCATTTGCAAAGAATGCCTGTCCCTAAGTACTCAGCTAGAGGTGAACAATCTTAAAAAAAAAAAACCTTTGGTGACTGGCAGAATTTTCTTAGTGCCCCGGGCTGCTGCCCACCTCCTGCTCATGCTTCCTTCCTTCTCCATCTTCAGTTGAGGTAGGACAACTCAAAGTAGCCACACTCTAGCCTTTCATCTTTTCTTTTCTTGGCAGGGTTGATGTAGTTGAGACAGAATAGGTCTTTGAAACAAAGTAAGAGTGGGAGACCACATCCTTTAAGCAAGATGAAAGGAACCAGATACAAAAACTGAGAATCTGCTAGAGGGACCTCTCTGGCTACTCCACAAGAATGTCTTATGGCTCTCGCCCAAGCAATTAAAAAAAAGAATCATTAGTATTTTGTTCTTAGAGGGTGTCTGAAGATGTTCTGATCAGTAAAGCATCCTGACAGAATTTTACACTTCCCAAGAGACTTTCGGGGGGGGGGGCAGAAAACAAACACCTCCAAACTGAGCCCTGGTATATTCGAAATTTTCAAACACAGACTTTCTTACAATGAAGCTGACTTTGTCATTTAATCCATCCTTTGCACAGCATCACTGGGCACAGCTCACTAACATCCCTCCCTGTGCGTTGTTTGGGGAGGAAGAGCAGGCAGTGATGGGTGTGCTTTTTTCATGCACCTTCTCTTTGCCCATGCTGTGGCATCTGCAGATATCAGCCAGTCCACCAGCCTAGATGACGTAAATGCTTTAAGAGGCAGCACACTGGTACACTTCAGCGAATGATTCCTTTCTGTGTTCTCATAGTATCTGAATAAGTCAGGTGGACAGCCTTATGCTTCAGACATTAACACCACGAAAAGAAAGCAATAACACCCTCTCCCTCATAGTTTACAAATGCTGTTACAATGACCAAAATAATACCAAAGAATACCTTTTTAATCAACCCCATCCCAGGCTAGGCTCAATGCAGTGATGCCCCGGGTTGAGGAGACTTTGAAAAGACAACATTTGAATCCTTCCATCTGCTCTCTCTCTCTTCCCCTCTTGCTCTCAGTTTAAACAGATGACTGCATTGCCATCACCCCAGGTGTGTTAGTCTTTAGGACCTAGTCCATGGATGAACCACCAGAGCTAAACATTCAATATAAACTTTCTTCTTCTTCTTCTTTTCCTTTTATAAGGCAACATGAGACACATTTGCTTCAGGACTGGAAGTGAGGACGGCTCCATGAACCCAATGGCTGTTATCTTGTGATTTCAAAGACACAGGAGACATAACAAAAGGGACCAGGTCTGAGTACCCTGGAGGAACCATCCTCTTGGGTCAGGTGTGTTGGAGATGGGGGATACTGATGGGTGCAGCCACATTGTATTCCATGTGGCCTCTAGTTTTCTAGGTACCTAGAGATGACAATGACAGCCAACAAAAACCCAGCCAGACAGAGCTAGATAAGGCAACAAAAAAGCTTCAGTTTCTTCTCCAAGTAAACAAAATGTGTACAGTATATTATTTTCTTGTAAAATGTCCCCCAGGAGAAGTAACGCAAGAGTGAAGGGTCCTCTCTACACACACCCACACTCCCCCCCACAGTGAGTCAGTCTCTCCCTCGCACACCCACTACACACACACACAAAAACACACACACACACACACACCTCTTCACATGGGAGTGTACTGTGTACATACATACAGAACCAGGCTCCCTTCAAGACACCTGGCAACCTGCCCAGGAGAGGAGGGATGGGATAAGGCAAGGAGAGGAGAAAACAAGAGGGCCTGTCTCTGGAACAAAACCAACTGAGCCTTGGGTTGCGGAGTGCTTAGGGGTGATCACTTCTGGGGGTCCAGATGCAGCATTAGAGTTGAGTTTTGTTGGTTTAGAATCATGAAAAAAAGAAAGAGGAAAGAAACAAAGAGAGAAGAAAGGAAGGAAGAAAGGAAAAAGGAAGGTAAGAAAAGAGGGAAAGAAGAAAGGAAAGAAAAGCATGAAGATTAAAAGGAAAGAAGAAAAGGAAAAATGATAAGGAAAACAAACAAAAACACCAGAGCAAAGAAAGAAGAACCAAGGACCACAGAGACCGGTTGGGGCAGATAACAGCGCTCAGGGTTGGGGACCCTGGAGAGAGCTGTCTGCGGGTTCACGCAGAGACTAGGCGAGGCGAAAAAAGTGCAAAATCGAGGCAACGTGTTTGCAGTCTTTCTTGTTTGTTTGGGCGCTGTTCCTGCTTCGGCCCTCAGCAGTGTGAGCCCCGCTCTTGCTCTAGCTTAATGGTTAGGGTGGGCTCCACCGCCAGAGGGGCCCCGTTGGAGTAGTGGGAGGTTTTGTAGGTGATGGAGTGATCGGTCTTCTTGGCCGCATAGCGGAACCGGTGGTAGTGGAGCACCAAGGCCAGCGCGACGGAGACCAGCACCAGCACTGCGCCCCCTGCTGCCATAACGTAATACCAGTAGGCTGGGATGGGCTGCACGGGCACCGTGTCCACTGTGGGCTCGGTCCCTGGCGGGAGGGTGCCCCCTGGGGGAAAGACACAGAGAGTGTTGCTAGGGCTGAGAGCATGCGGACTCATAAAAAAAAATCAATTTTTTTAAAAAAAGAAATAATTAAAAAAGAAAAGAAAGAAATTGAGAAACACACATGCTTTGGAATATACAGCAGGGGACCAGGGACTTGGTGGCAGTCCACCTTCATATATACCAAGCAGTTTATAATGCTGCAATCTCTCCATTGGTCCCTGTATACGTCAGGTACTTATTTAACCCATCCTACAGATGAGGAAACAGGCTCGGAGACAGTCAGTAAATAAGCTTCAGCCAAGAGTGCTACCCTTACAAATCTTTCTTTGCTGCTGTTTAAGCAGAATTATTTTATCATGTGTAAAAGTGTTAATTCTCTCCTCTCTCTCTCTCTCTCTCTCTCTCTCTCTCTCTCTCTCTCTTTGCTCTTTCGCTCATGAGCATGCGTGCACATACCCACATGCATACACGTGCCCACACACACGCGCCACACACACACGGAAAATGATGCTGCAGTGACTGCTGGGATTTAGCTAGGTGAATTCTCCAAGTGAGTGGAAATGCCATATTTGGTGTGGCTGGCCAGAATTCTCAAACAATGTATTAATTAGGCTGGCTAGACTTGAAGGTAAATTCCACTTAGATTTGCCAAAGCTTCTGTGCCCATTGAAATCAGCTTGGTCTTGTCTAAACAGGTCAATTACTACTGTCAAGCAATGACTAACCCGTCTCATTTTTTTTTAATTGGATGGAGGATTTTAAAAGCAGGTTGGATGAGTACTTGTAAGAAAAAATCTGAGTAGAAAACACTAAAGGAATGTGAGAGCGAGGGACGCTGAGTGAGCAAGTGAGGGCAAAAGAGGCTCCTTCTTAACTGTGGAAAAAAGGAGGGAGGAGAAGCTGGGGTGGGAGATTTAGAAGGCATCTGAGTTTACTGGCCAGCCTCTGGTTGCCATGGAGACACTGTAGTAGAGTGAAGCTTAGGGTAACTCAGGGGAAAGACTGGCTGGACTCCCACTCCATGCAAAACAGTGCTACAACTTGATTCTCCCAAAGATTTACATCAGATGAGAATCTGGCCCAGAAAGGGACTAAGGCGCTTTAGAGCTTGCCAAAGGCAGACATGATCTTTACTTCTGAAAGATGATGTATGCTTAACCTATGAGAAACGCTTCCCAAGCTGCTTGTGTCCCCTGCTGGTGACCACAAAGATGCTTCCTGTACTAACAGGGTGTGTGGGGGGGAGGGGTGCTGCTTATGCCCTGCTTCCGCATTGTGGCAGCCCCTCTGCGGCGGCTCAGGCTGGACCTGGCTACCCTTCTTGTCTTCCCGTGAGACTTCAAGCTGCACGACTCGGTCCCCACCGAAGAGCGCGCAGAGAGTGTCCCGCAAATGCCTTAGGAAGCCACTGCTGACCCGATTCCCAGTTCTCAGTGTCTGCCAGTTCCCACAGCCTGATCCCCAGAGTGCCCTTTTCCATTTGGGGAATAGCCTAGAGGCGGTCAGACCTTCTTGCATATCCTCAGAAATGAGAGAAAAACTGGAGAATTTTTCTTGGAAAATCTAATGAAGCCTGCCCACCTTGGTAGCTGGGAGTCCTTGCTTCCTTCAGCTTGGGGGTCCCCTTCTATCGGGGTGCAGTTTTACAGGTCCATGTAGGCCTCTGGAAGTCTCACAGTGTGGAAACAGCTTTGACAAAGGCGTACAGCTTGATGGCTACATCTATATGCTTGGAGTGAAAATTATCCCAGGACCCCTCAAGGCTGCTTCCTTTATCCTTCCCACATGACTACAACCTTTTCCTTTTCCGTTAACCATTCCCATCTTGTTTGGTTTGTTTGTTGTCTCGAGACAGGTTTTCACTTTGTGGCAGAGGCTAATCTGAAGTTCATCATGCAGCCAAGGCTAGACTTGACCAGCGCCTCCCCATCCCACCTTAGCAAGTGGTTGGATTACAGGTGTGAGCCACCACACCCAGCTATGACTTGCATCTTTAATACCTTCATTCCTATGACTTAAGAGAAACATATTTGTCTCCTCCCTTTTTCTCTTTCTCTCTCCGTAGTCAAATTGAGAATTTTGCATAGAAACCAAGATACAAAGAATGCAAGCTGCTCAAAGAGGCCAGCATGCCAGTCAGGGCCAGTTGATGTCAGCTTATGATTGAAGTCCAAGAGCGTCTGCTGCTTGGCAACCGCTCCGATCCTGGATTTTCATGTGAGCTCACGGCGATGCTGAGAAATGCCTAAGTGTACCGGTGGGCCCACAGTTCACCACAGCCTCCTTTCTTTCTCCTCCTGTTCTGTGGCTGTGCCTTAGATTCTGTCTGTTGTATTATGAGGGCCATCCTCGAATGAGGTTGCAGCTCGCCCATCAGAGAAAAGGCAGGTGGCAAATTCAGTGATTAAAGCCTCCCTGAAGTGCCAGAGCACAGTGGCAGCTGCTCCTGTTCCCTCTACCACCTCCTGGCCTCAGTACAGAAGTTCACTGCTCAGGGAGCTAGGAGTGGGGAGGGAGGAAGCCTTAATGCTACCTTGAAAGTGTTTCTGATGAGAGAAATAACTTGGGGCACAGCAGGAAGATCTTTCTTCCTGCCAGAAGAGGTTAACTGTAACGTGGGGTTTAGTATTCATTATCTAACGTGAGCCATCATCACCTCAGAGTTAGCCTTTGGAAGACAGACTGCACTGTGTGTGAAAAACTGCCCCCTCCCACTAAAGCCCTCCTGGATGAAGTTATCAACATGTAGAACATGTGATAATGTGAGTGACAAGAGTCATTTGGAGACATTGTCTTGACCTCTCAAACATTTTTTTTCTTGGAAAAATGAGAAAACATACTATATAAATGTATGCTTTTAATGATAAAGGAGTTAGGAAAAAGAAGATATGACTAACAATACCTTCCCTATGCCCCACCAAGCAATTTAGGGGTGGCTTGTAAGGAGCAGAAGTTTCTCGAACATCCTCCAGCTTGAGGCTTGATTCCAAAGAGCAGTGGTTGTGCAGGTTTGGAATCTACCTCGGCCACAGCCTTGAAGTCTAGTGTGCTCACTAGACTGTGGTTTGCAAGTTACAGAAAGGAAGGCAGTAAATCAGCCAGGCTTAAATCTCTACTCAAAAAGTTTTTCTAGCAAAGCAGAAATCCAATAAATACTAGATGGATGGGTGGGTGGGTAGGTGGATGGATGGATAGATGGATGGATGGATGGATGGATGGATGGATGGATGGATGGGTGGGTGGGTAGATGGATGAATAGATGGATGGATAGATGGATGGATAGATGGACAGACAGACAGACAGACAGACAGACAATAGATGAGTGGTAGAGGAATGCATTCTGGATCAACGTTCAGGCATCCTGGGAAATGCTGATTTCCTACTGGGCCTCACAGAACTGCTCTGAGATAGTTATGAGAACCACTTCCCACTCACAGTGTTTCTACAGGAAGGGGAAAAGAGCCTTGGAACACAAGCAGCTGGATAGCAACCTTACTCAGCACGCTTTTCCAATGGGTGACTTCACAAATAAAATGTCCTGGGCCAGCTACACCAACCTGGGAGCAAAAATCGGAGGTGAGACATCAGCCTTGCCCAGAGCTGACGATGTCTGTCCCTATGTCCCCTCGACTATTCTTTTACCCCTCAGACACAGATCTTTTTTTTCTTTTCAGTTGGAAAAATGTTTTCAATTCCTCAACCATTTTTTTTTATTAATTTCCACCCCCAATTCTCCACAAAGTTTTCTCATTGTTCAAGATAATGAGAAACAGATACTTAAAAAGTCAATAACTCCAAAGTGTATTTTCCAAGGTTGAGCAGGCGCCCATCTGCAAAAGTTCTGAACTCCCTGGAGAAGAGACATGTGGATGCAAAGAATTCAGATTTTGAGAAACCAGTTCTGAGAAGTCACATACAGGAAAAATGAAAAGAAATCACCTGTTAGGTAGCGAGCCTTCCGTGCCTGTTAATGGCATCACTGCTTTAATGAATTAGGTTTTGATGGTTTAGGAAGTGTGGTTGTAAGAGCAGTCATAGAGTGGCTGTGCTCAGTGCATTAGCCCTTGATCCATGGCTGCACCTGAGCTGCCTGACACGGGGGATGTGAGGGCCTAAGAGGACGAGCAGTCGGAAGACAAAGGAAGAGGGCAAAGCAGCAAACACATAGGGAAACCCAAGGGATGGCTCAGCGCTCGGAAGAATTGCTTACTGCTGCTCAGTGATGAAGTCAGACCTGAAGCCGGGTATACAGAATACTCAGCTAACTGCAGTACATTGTCTGTTTAAGTAAAGTTTTATTTGAACACTGCCATCCTCATTGTTTACACACTACTGTGGTTGCCTCTTTGCTTCAGTGGCAGGGCAGAGAGCTTTCCGGAAGGCTGAATGCCCTCCAAAGCCTGGGATATTTATTATCTGGCTTTTCATAGCACAATTTTGCTCTAAAAAAGAAAGTAAAGCAGGAACAGGAAGCAACCCTCTCTCCCTTCCTGCCTTCTACTCTGTCTGAAGCTGTCAGAGAATTGGCATGGCAGCGTCTCACCATGAAAACAGCAAGCATCTTTCACAGTTATGTTTATAAAACGCCACCAGGACCTGGAATGTCTCTCTTTGTACCTAAAGGTTGTTTTAGGTGCTGGCATGGGCCTTTTTATCCAGCTCAGAATGAGCACAGCTGAAGGGACAGTGCAGGGGAATGGTTTGTTTCATCTGTGGGATTAAGCAAACAAAAGAAAAGGCTTGGATCCACTAGAAACATTTATGGAAGGTAGTGGAAGGATGCGGCCAGGTCTCCTGTGCTTTTGAAAGGTTGCTGAAATCCAAAGCACCCCAGAATAACTTTCCACTTGTTGGACAAGTAAGTACATAGAGATAGATTCATCAGAGGTGAATGGGCAGGAACCTGGGGGAACTCCCCACTGTTCCCCTTCCCCGTGTCTATCTGAAGTACCTCTAAATTCAGAAGGCATTTCTCATCTCCTTCTGGAGCTTAGGCTACATTATAAAACTGAGGCCTGCTGCTTTGTGCTGTTGGAGAGAGGGGCTGGGGAGGAGCATTTTCTCCTGCCCTTTCTCTGGTTGTCCTGGCAGCTAGCTGCCTTAGATGCAGGTGTGGGGAGGGGAATGGCCTCTAGCTTCGGTGACAGGAGAGGCTGAGTAAGCACGTAAGCTTCATAAACAATGTCTCGGGGTCCTGTGGACAGAGATGGCAGTGGAGCATCACATGGTCGTTCCACACATTTCTCTGCATCCTCTCTGCTTGCAATACCTAGCCTCTACTTGGCAGCTGGAGGTGGGGGCGGGGCTACAGAGGCAAGGAAGTCCAATGAGAAAGGCACCCCGATGGGGCCCGTCCTATCTCATGCCCAGGGACTGGGGTGCTGTATTGGCAGAGCTTCTGGGTGGGAGGCGGGTCATGCGAGTGAGGGTGGGAATGGAAAAAGCGATGTGGCTATAAATTGGCAGATTGTCCTGTAGGGCCCAAATAAATTGGCTCCAAATCTGAGGCATGGAGTCAGGTGCCAGTCACCTCAGATTTCACCCTTAAAACGGTTCCCAGCCATGCCCAGGGGACAGACAGCCTTTGGTCATCATTTTCTCCTGGTTATACCCTGATGGAAATTGTGAGGGGCAGCAGGAAGGCAAAAGATGGAGTACAACACCCTTAGAAATGGTTGGAGACATAGTCACAACCATCGGACTCTCAGGACATACATAGACTCCTTTTAGGGCGCTTAGGAAGAAGGCAGTTCAGGGTACCCCAGCTCAAGACCACCTTCACAGTGTGACCCTGCCTGGATCTCCATCTCTCGCCAGGGACAGCCTGCTCCTGCTGCAGGAGCAGCAACAGTTCTTGCCTCCGCTACAAGCTGCTCGAAATATCCAGCTGGTCAACAGGCACAGGACTCTCATTATGGGCATTATATATTTTTACTGGCTCCTTGCTTGATTTTTTTTCTCTTATTGAACACTGGTTTTGAGGAAACAACCCATCACCTTAATTATAGCACTTTTCAGTCTCCCCGTTCCCTTTATACAGTTTTTCATTTGTTAAAGCTCAAGCCTTAAGAACAAAGATACACGACCACACCATGTTTATAGCCACTGCTTATGCAAGCAAGCGAGCACACCCATGTTACATTGTTTAAAATACAACTTGCCTCAACAACAAAAGAATCTTTTTAAGAATGGCATGCCGATACAGTGTTTCCCTTCTCCCTGTTTCCTCTTTGCCTACACCGTTCATCTTCAACACTAACTCACAGGCAGGTACACAACCCACGTGCAGGTAATGAGGCAGAAAGCACATGGCAATTAGGATAAAAAAAGGTTCATGGCAAGAAACCAGCTAGCGGCGGAAAATAAAAAACCCTTCAAACTGAGAAAGATCAAGAGCAGCCACCAGAACAGGTCCAAAGATCACTTTTCATTGCACTTCCCTAAAGATCCACCAAGAGCACAGAGATCTCCCTGAATGAATGGGATTTCTTCTGCTGCATGGTTAGTTTATAATGGAAAAGAAAATAGCCTCATTCTAAAGGCCCAGAAGCAATGCAAATGTAAGCTGTAAGCAGTGTTCACATATCTCCTCTCTGTACCTTGCTTGTCCAAATCCCATTTCATCTGCTACTCTGCTTTGAGGAAAATGACTGATTTTCCGTCTTAAGCAAGAGGCCCCTACTTTCCTGCCCAGGAAGAGAACAAAAGGCATGTCTTCCAAATGGAGAGGCATTTGCTTAAGTCAAGATAGAGACCTGAGGGAAGGTCCTAACGCCTGGTTCCAGGTTCATCACATCCAAGAGCATCAAGGAACATGTCAATGCGGTTGAAACTTCCAAGTCCCATTCTGCTCTCAACTCTATGTTCTTAAGCCAAGTCTCGACCCACTAAGACTTGGTTGCCTCTTTGCCATCGTCCACGCTTGCAATTTGAGGCCTGTCTGCACAGCCCCAAAGTATCATAAGCTACTGGAAAGTCTTACCTTCAAGCTACCGAGTTCTGTGTTTATTTAACCTAAGTGCACATTTGCCACTCAAATGAGACTTTATTTATATATCTTTGTGCGGGCGAACAGGCCTAGGGTGTGCAGCCTTGTGCTGCACACGACTTCAAGGAAAGTGCATGTGCTTGGTTTGTTTATTCTCTTACAGAAGTGAAGCCCTCAGCCACTCTACCTGTCAGTCATGACCAGACAGGGTATGTGCACAGCTGTTAGAGCAGTTACCGACCAGTCTTGAACTGGCCTTTCTGAGAGCTTTGAGAAAGCTCAACAAGCCACTGAGAGTCAGGAATGGGATGCACACGAATTACCCTGCATCCTGGAGGTTAGAACCCAACTGTGATCCGAGCTGTTCAGTCTGGACCTCGGGTTTTCCTTACAGTGCCTTGCACTTGCAGCCCCATCCCCAGGGAGCAGTAAAATGTGCACACGGACATTCAACACTTTCAAATGCGGGGACACGGCAGAGAGGGTAAGAAAGGAAACATATACAGGCCCTCTGTTCTACCTCTTCCCCCGCGCTGCTCATCCTAGAGCTAGGAACAAATGGCAAATTAGGCAGGATGACTTGTATTCAGAAAGACTGTCTAGGTGTCAAGGCAAGAATTCATCTCTTTCTAGTCGGGGGCTGGACAGATTAATGAGCGCGAGGATAGCAAGTGGAGACGTGGGGCGTGAAGTAGTGAAGCTTATCTCTAAAATGCCGCCACCTAGAAGGGTACGTCTAGCCAGCACAAACAGGGCATGGCAGCCCTCACACGGCTGGCACCAAGCAGGCCCCCGAGACCCCGCATCAGGTGAGGGTCTGTGAACATGCTGCGGTCGGCTGGCTGCAGGGGGCACTTAGCCTTTGCAGCACCACTGCGTGCTCAGTACTAGAAACCTGGGTGGAAACTGAGACTGAGGTGGCCGCATCAGCAGCCAGGCTGGGGGGAGAGAGAGAGAGAGAGAGAGAGAGAGAGAGAGAGAGAGAGAGAGAGCAAACCAGCTGCTTCTGAGTAGCACAAGCAGAACCTTTGCTCCGGGAGGGAGGGCAGTCCTTTCTTCTTTCCCGGGATGAGACAAGCATCCCAATTTCCCTCTGCTTTGCTTTGTTCTCCTCTTGCTTTCTTAGGAAGAAAACACCCCTTTCTGCTCCCAGCCTTCCAATGCAAGGGCTCGGCCTCCAGTAGGGGAAGGCACTCCCTTGCTTCTATTCCTAGCTTCTGAATCCAACACCACTCCCCACAGCCACCCTCTCTAGAATGCCTGCCTCCACACCTCACTGTGGGATAGTTGACACCGCGGCCTTGCTTCCCTGGAGCAGGAAAAACACCACCTTCAGCCTAAAACCAAGCATTGCCACGTTGTTTCACTTTTAATTTACTATGGAGGATTTTCCCTCACGGTGTGTGTGTGTGTGCGTGTGTGCGCGTGTGTGCACGTGTGTGCATGTGCGTGTGTGTGTGTGTGTGTGTGTGTGTGTGTGCTTGTGGTGTTGATCTTCCCACAGCCTCTCCTTTCTCAGCACTCCTGAATTTTCAACCTCATTGCTCCCGGTTGGACAATGCAAGGCTCAAAGGTTTATCTGTAACCTATTTGTCTCTATTATAGGTTTCTAAACTTTAATTAAGTGAGAGACATTGACAGTCTCAATCCCCAGGAACTATGGGTGTTTCTGGCGCCACCTAGTGGTGAGAAAGTGGAGCATCCTTTTTTTTTTTTTTTTTTCTCCTGCAAGCTTTGTCAAACTGGGCATTGCTCCCTTCACCAAATTCACATCACATGGAAAGAGAAAAAGCCATGCAAAACGAGCATTTTTTTTTACCTTTAAAATCCTCACCTGCAAAAGCTGAGATGGGCTCTGAAAGGAAAAAAAAAACAACTTTGAGTCAGAGAAAGGGAAGAAATAATTGAACAAACAAAGATGGAGTCTGTAAGATCACTTGGTAACACACTACAGAAAGTGGCCCATTTCTTGCATGGTTTCTAGACTGTGTCCAATATCACTGGGCAAGGGTGACTAGAGAGGATTCTCGAGTTGCTTTGGGTCAAAAAGTCTTCATAGAGTAACGGGTCCCGAAGGCATTGTAATCAGTAACTTAGTACTGATTACTTTCTCAGACCTGGGATTACTTTTAGATGCCCAAGCCCTGAGAATTGCCTGGAGGACTGGGGAAGTCTCAGTTGCTTCTTACATCACTAGGAACAGACACCCAGGACCCAAGGTCCAAGAAAAGCACTTGGTAATTTACTACAGCAACTCTGCTGGCTGGAGTCAAGCCTTTTCCTTCTCAGGATCCTTTTCTGTTTGGGGAAAAAAAATCCATGGCTCTGATGGGAGGTGGTCAGGATCCCCTTAGGGAAATCCCTGCTTCCCTAAGCTTCAGGATGAAGCCTTGTGCAAAACTATGTGCATTTCGTAGGACTTCTGACCAGAAAGCTAGATAGGGGTGTCCTTTCTAAACCGGTCCTGAGTATGCCACGCTTAACCCTACAGCTCCAGACTCTTGGGCCTTAGAAGTATTCGCTTAAAAACAAAATGTAACATTTTATTTCTTATGCCACAATTTCCACTGCAGTTCATTCAGGTGAGAGAACAGTGTGGGTAATTGTGTTATCATTCTTATATAGCATGTGTGCCGTTTTTGTCCACCACTGAAGGCTTCCATTAAGTCCATCAACCCTTTCCAGCATGTAATTCTGACTGGCAGGTACTCTTGGTCTGTAGCATTTTCTTAGCTAAAAACTGGAGTCTGATGATGATGGGGTCTTGGCGCTCTGAATTTTCATATATTTAATGCACATCTATTTCTGATTGGGAGATGGATATAAACCTTCACTTCACATCACACCCTTCCCAGCCTCAGCCCAGGACACAACAGTGCCCACACTTCACCCCCTCTACAGACGGGCGCAGCCCTACGTACTACTGTTTTAAGCCCTACCTACTGTGTCTTAAGAAAGCAGTTGCTGCCTTTTGCCACCAAGAGAGAGGCAGTCACATACCCATGCAGTTCTCCAGTGGGACATCGGTGCTTATCCGAATGTCGTCGATGGCAATCTCTCCCGATCGTCCTTTCCCTATCACTCCCTCGAACACAATCTAGAGCCAGAAGGACAAGAGCCATGGTTAGTGTAAAGACTCCCAGTTTCTGCTAACAGCCGTGTGTGTGTGTGTGTGTGTGTGTGTGTGTGTGTGTGTGTCATTGCACCTGGTATACATCTGTGGACCACATGGCTAGATCTCTTGAGATCTTAATTTAAAAAGAGTTGGTTCAAATCAAGTGCATATTTGAGAGGATAAGAAAATATAGCGAGTTGATGGATACTGCTGTCCAGTAACAAGAATATCCTGATTAAAAGGACCACAATTGGAGCACACATAAGGTGGGGGGGTGTGTGTTAAAATTTCCCTAGTTATTTCTGAGGTTCCTTTCTCGTAAATCCTTCAAATTCTCAACCTAGGTTATTTGAAAACTCAGAGGCCATGAGCAGGTGAGGGTAAAGAGGAACCCAAGGTGCCTAGGCTTGCATTGCCTTCTAGGTGACCGCTCCCTGCACACCGACTTAGAGATCCATTAATACAACAAGGAAACTGCTTTCTGAACATCTACTATGTTTTAGGCACACATGTTTAGGTGAGAGAGTAACAAAATCTATTAAGACAAGAGCTCTGCCCGGAGAAGCCCACCCTACAGGGGGTGAGACAAAAACTCCAATAGGGTCTTCTAATCCCAGCACTGACGTTAGCAAGTAGGGACCCAGGTTGCAAACCGAGGGTCTCAGGATGCTTCAGCCTGCGCACGGAAGCCCCTCAGCTCTGTGGTCTTTAATCATTCCTCATTCTCACCCTCCCCAGGTTCTTTCTGCAAACGAGCACATGTCCTCTGGCAAGCTGAAGGAGCAGTTGGCTGCCTGACCAGCCATCTGTTGCTGCTCTTCATCTGGGGAGGAGCAGGTTAATGCCTTGGCTGCTTCTCAGTCACCTCGTCCACAGTGTGTCTGTCTACCCCTGCCCAAGATGCGGCTACAGATGTGTGTGCCCATCCGTGCCACAGTCTCCTGTTCCAAGGGATAGAGATAACAGAAAGCAATTCCTGGAGCTGAGACAGACAGAGAGTGAGAGAAGCCACTTGTTTGGGGCTCTCAGGGGTCCACTGGCTACAGAGTTTAATGTCTATCCATCTGCGGCCCTTCCTGGATTCCTGCTCTCTGGAGCAGGTATGGGGGGGGGCACGGCCCAGCTTCCCCCATTCTGAGAGCCCCACTGCCGTGGATGTAGAGAGGCTGTTTGTGTTTATTTCCCTGGCCTGTGAATCCCTTTGTCAGTCCACCTGATAGCAGTCTAAAATAAAATGAAGAGAAGAAACATTTGTCGGAGAAAATTTCAGCAATATAAAAGGCAATAGGAGGAACAAAGAACCAAGTCTGGGTGTCGAGATAGGCTCATTCTGAATAACAAATAAGAGTGTCATTTAGTTGCCATAGCAACATAAGAAACACAATGAAAACAGTGGAGCTTAACCGCGTCCCTTAATGATGAATGGGCAAGGCCCTTTGAAATACTGAAAGGGGAATCACAATGATTCCCTTGCGTCTAGAGTCCCTTTCTCCCCACGACTCACCTGATACTCCATGTCATAGCTGGGCAGGATAATGCGGCCATGTTTCCACTCGCTGCCCTGGTCCTCACGGATGACCCAGAGGAGTTTGCTTTCCTGGCTGGCTTCCCGAACCACCTGCAGCGCCACCCCGTGGCCGCCTGTAGCTTGGTACTGGAACTCCATACACACAGGGTTTCGGGGCAAGTGCACAGGAGGGCTGATGAGCCGCCCATACTGGCCCTCTCGCCGGCTGTCACTCTGCAGTCTCAAGAAGTTCTTGTCGTCTGGGGAAGACAAATCCAAATACAGGTGGTAAGTGCTTGGGAAACACACCCCTTTGTAACTGCGGCCCCTCCATCAGAAGGTCGGGCTGGAGTTGGGGTGTTTTCGGTGTTGGGTCTTGCTATGTAGGTTAGGTTGGCCTTGAACTTACAACCTTCCTGCTTCTGCCTCTTCAGTGCTCATAGTACAGGTGTGTGCCACCAAGTGGGGCCTGCTGAGCTCTTTTCTAAGGCTCCCTCAGAGTCCTGATTCAAATGTTGTGTCTCCTTGAAGCTCTTTCTTCTTCAAGTCACATGGGCCCCTGTTCCCATTCTCTGGATCATTGGGTCATATATAGTCCCTGCCAGGGTCAACTTGAAACCTTGCCTGTGTACAAGCTTGTCTCTTCTCTCTAGATTCTACGAGGCCTGACCCATGTCTTATCCATCTCTGGCTTACCCAAAGGGTCAATGCCGTCTATTGAACTGAATTATAAGGGGACAGTTTATAGGGGTGAAGCGGCTGCTGGATTGGAAGGTGACTCTGACCAGGTGGCTTATGCTTCGAGCCTTTGTTGTCTGGCTGGGCACTGTCCAAATGAAAGACATTAAAAAACCTTTTGCCTCTGCCAGATGCGGCCAGGGCCTCAGTAACTGTCACCCAGACACTCATGTCAACCTAAAGCAGATTGGGGTGGGGGTGGCCGGACATCCCACTTTCTTCCTGGACTTGGCTTTTCCCATGCACACACAGCGCCAGCGGTTTAAAAGGTATGGCCATTTTCATAACGAAGGCTGTGTGTTTAGCAGAGAATATACATGTCCCGGGAAATTAAGGTTCACTGTCCAAATGCTTCAAGAATGGCCTTTTTGGAAGATTGGTTTTAAACCCATCTGAACTTCTGCAGAAGGCTGAGCTCTCGTTACGGTTGGCAGCCCCTAGGCCTTACAGACACGGGTGCAGAGATGGGCAACTCCAGCCTGCGAGCAGAGAGCAAATGTGCAGAGGAGAAAGGGGAGGTCTCACAATCTGCCTTGGGCACTGAGACATGGGTCATGGTCTGCTAAACTCCTCTGCCAGGCGGGCAAGGGGGTCAGGGACATATTTTCAGTATGTATCCAGCTTGGGATGTGAGCAGGCCAGACACGTTAGCCTAGACATGGGCACAGAGCTTTTCCAGTCAACATCGATGGTGGAACCTTGGGTTTGCTGGGGAAGGACAGGCTCGCATCCCGGAAGCCTGGGCAAGCACCCTCTCCGGGATGGGGATGTCTGGTTTGCGTCTGTCACATCTGTGGGCATCATCTTGCTAGGTGAGGACTAAGCCTATAGCAGACCTTCCAGCAGCAGGCCTGTTCCAGGCACAGATAAGGGAGAGGGGGCCGCCTCCAGAGCGTGCCGTTAATAGTGGGGTCTGCCGAGGAAGGGTTGCTGATAGTATCACCAGACACTCAGTGGTCCCCCAACCCTCTGTTGCCCCATCAGATCTTTCTGCTACCAGTATTAATGATAATAATTACAACTCAAGGCTGCTTTGCAGGTTACAAAGCACACGAGCGCATTTTATCCCATCTCATGCTCGCTCTGTGCTTGCAGGCTAAGACATCTAATCTTACTTTGCACACAATGGAGAAACCAAGAAAGGTTAAAAGACCTGGCCAAGGAGGAAATGACTGTCCATAGGTGGAGCCCAGACTTAACTGAGGGATACCCCGCTTTTCCGATTTACCACAGTAAATTTTTTATTTCAGCTGTCTGCAGGGGTCTTGCCCCAAATCCTCTCAGTCACTGTCTGTTTGAGGAAAACCAGCTTCCCCCTAGGTCTGCTGCCTTGCTGTCTCAGCTTGCTTACACCTCTTGGTTCTTCCTCTTCTCCACATGGCCCAGCTCTTGGCAGATGTAATACTCACCCCTACTTTCTCATCAACTCAAGTATTTGTTGGCTATACCACTGATCTAGCACCTTTAAAAGGAGCTGAGGCCCCTTTCCATGGTAACTACCCACCACCTGATACTCTTAACTGGGTCATGTGTGTCTTTTGTACCATCTAAGACTTTAAAAAAATATTTTTTATTTACTTAATGTATATGCATGTGCGTATGTTCACATGTGTGCACGTGTTTGTGCCTCATGTATGCACATGAGGCATGAGCATACCTCAGAGCACACATGGAGGTCAGAGGAGTGTGTGCGGGAGTTGGTTCTTTCTTTTTACCATGTGGGTTCAGGGGCTGAAGTCCAGCCATCGGGTTTGGGGCAAGCACTTTCACTTGCTGGGTCACTCTATCCTCTCCCATCCCAGACAGTCTTGCACATATAAGGTTTAATACTGTGTGCTTCTCCTTTTCTTAGTCCATGTAAATCGCACTACTCAGGGAAATTTGATTTCATGAATGAATAAATGAATGAATGAGAAACACACAGAGGAAGAAAGAACGAGGACAGAGGGAGAATCTGCTAGACTCTGCCAAGCCTTCAGATTCATGCAATCCTTTTGCGATTGCCTCTGTTTTCTTGAGCCAACAGCCCCCTTTTAAAGGTGAGGCAACCTCACACCAGGGTAACCTGTGTAGGCACCCAGTAGACTGGCAGGCCAGTGAGGGTCCGCCGAGCCTCTGTGCTCCAGTAACTTCTAAGTCCTTCCTTTTCCCACCCCATCTACAAAGGAAAGCACATTTGAGAGACTTCTTATTCAGCCTTCTCCCTTCACAGTTTCACAAATAAGACCCGCTTACTGCCTGAGAATTGCTTGGCGGAAATTCTGTCACTTGTGTGAATTTGCATTCTTAAGCAAAGGAATCATAGCAGAACGCTTACAACTGGGAAAGCCAAAAGCGTGCAGGGTGTGGAATGGCTGGCTGTGAGGATTTATCCGGGTCTATCTTAGCTAGCCACCCTGTCATTAGAACTGAGCCAGGCCAGAGGCTTCCCAGTCAGCTGGTCCGGAGCCTCCCAGCCCCTCCCTTCTCCCCCCGCCCCCCACAGTAGGCTGATAATCAGTATGCATGATTTACAGGACCACGGCAAGAACCGAGTTAATGCTAGTGGCGTGCTAAGCACGAGCAGCCGAAGGATCATAATTCAGCGCTGACGTCTGAGCTAATCCACGCATTTGCAGAGTCTCCAGACAAGCAGGCCTCTGGATTTCACTCGGTTAAATCATTTGTGCCCCACTTGTCTGTTAAGTGCTATGAGCTCCAGGGAAGAAAGACGATATGTAAATTTAAGGAATTAACAGGCGACATCAGTCAGAGGGACGCTGAGCTGCAAAACATCCCTGCCTGTCATGAAGAGAGGCCTGATTAGAACCAGGGACACCGTGAAGGGAGAGGCTCTGACCAGGAAAAGCTCAAAGAGCAGGAGAGAGAGAGAAAAAGGTAGACGCTGGGGATGATGGAACTAAACAGATATTGTGTGAGACTGGAGTTTCTCCTTTAGGTACCATCCCCGCGCAACAGAAGTCAGTATTCCCAGCTCCTGCTCAGGTCCTGCAAAGGAGCTCAGGCTGGCCCTGAACTCAAGATCCTCCTGCCTGCTCCTCTCAAATGCTGGCATCGGAAACGAGTCTCCCACGCCACAGCAAGCTTATCCTCTCCATTTCTAGAGGGAAACTGAGGCTCGGAGATGTGAGGCCATATTTCCAGGACGAATGAAAACAGGATCTGAACTGAGATGGGCCTGAAGAAGCTCGCTGGCTGGTGGTCACCTGGGGTGGGATCCTGGCCTGAGGCTCTACACCTTTGAAAAAGCCTTAGTCTTCCCATCTGTCCAATGGATATAAAAGGGTTGTAAGAATGGAGCCTGTAAAGCTGTAGCAAGAGATTAGCCGAGCTACTGATGCCTCTTCACACACTGTTGCCCGCAGGCCAAAGACCAGCAACCTGGGGAAGCCAGTGCAAGATGCAAAGGTATGGGTTATCTCAAAGAGGGCTTTGACATTCTTTGAAATAGGATAATTTCCCAGACCTGTCTCAACTATAGGAACCAGCCAGCTCCCTTCTGTGAGCATCTATAGAACATGAGACAAAATGGGATACTGTCTTAGATCTTGACTGGGACACTCTCTCTTTCTCTCTCTCTCTCTCTCTCTCTCTCTCTCTCTCTCACACACACACACACACACACACACACACACACACACACAC